CTAAACCCTAAACCCTATCTGCTTAAGGGGGACCCCCAGAAAGATCCTGCCCGAAGGCGCTTCTGACATTGCAGGGGAAGTGCGACACCCAGGTAGGCCTTGCCTTTCCGGGCCTGAGCGGTAAATACGATTTAGGGGTGGAGGGGTTTAGGGGTTTAGGGTTTAGAGGTTTAGGGTTTAGCAGTTTAGGGGTTTAGGGTTTAGGGTTTTAGGGTTTTAGGGTTTAGGGTTTTAGGGTTTAGGGTTTTAGGGTTTAGGGTTTAGGGGTTGAGGGCTTAGGGATGGTAACCTCAGATCCCTGTAATGGGGAACCAAGGACTACCACATGTCCCTTATATAGTTCGAGATTCTTCTGACCATATACCCACAACCAACCAACCAACCAACCAACCAACCAGGGATTCTATATTGTAATGGCTTTGCCAATAAATCAGGACAGGGAAAAGCTATTTGGATAGATCGGTAGGAAAACTCTCCAACGGGGGGTTCAGGCATTTGCTTAGAGGCTGGCTTCTTCTCCGCTGTCACTCAGTTTTGCTGTGTCTGGGGGTGGCTTTGCGTTGCTACCATTCCGTTTGGAACAGTCACGCTATTCCGCTCCCCCTTTCGTGATCGAACTCCCGCCTCTGCAAGGGTCTGAATCACCGGCCTATGATACATGGGGGTTTTCCAAAAAAAAGAGAAAGGTACCTGTTTGGGGGTTCCCAAAACAAGGACTATAGTATTTGGGGATATAAACTGGGTTCCCCCATATTTTGCGAAAGTACCACTTAGGTGTCAAGAAGATGGTCCACGAGTTGAAGTCTGCTCCCAGCACTAATGAGTAATGCCTCCGGTTTATTGTTGTTGTTTGGCCTTCCACTGCTATATGGGGGTTTCCCAAAATTTGGGATACCTTTTTGGAAGTCCCTATAATAAGGACTATAGTATATTAGGGTCTATATTGGGGTTCCCCCTATTTTGGGAAAGTACCATATTATTTCCTGTAGTATTATTACCACAGCTGCTTCTACAAGTGCCACTCTGACTGTGGCGACTTTCCCGCTGCTACACATTGAACGGAAGGTAGGAGGAGGAGGAGGAGGAAAGTCGGACCAAGAAGGAAGAATGAGAATGACTAATGACCCGACACTGAAAGCCCTGAATCCCAACTCCCCAAACTGTACACTAAAACTAAACCCTGGCTCAATGCATCCGTGAAAAAAAGCGCGGTAAACGCGATCACCAACATAAGAAACAGTCATAGTGTGATATACTAAAGTAACACTAACTGCAATAACACCAGAAAGAACAGTAACCACATGAATATCCGAAAGTGCGAACGATAATTCTTGTTCTTTCATAGCATTGTCATTGCTGTCAACGGTATGTTGTTATTCCGTCGGTATCGCAATTATTCCTAGCAGTATGTGTATGCGTATAATATCAAGGATACTTGCATTCCCCGCACCCCCCCAAACCTTACACCCTAAACCTTAAACCCTGAACCCTAAACCCTGAACCCTAAACCTTTCAACTCTACAAACCCTAAACCTTGAATCCTATAAACCTTAAACTACGAACCTTAAACCCTAAAACCCTAAACCTTAAACCCTAAAACCCCCGCTGGCAGGAGACCGCGAACCTGGCTTCGAAGCTACCGACCTTCGAGCCCCCGGGGCGCCAGCGGGCACGCGAGGCGTGATCTTCAGTGGGTTTATGGGTTACGGGTCTCGAGGTTTTGGGATTTTTTGCGGTTTATAGGGTTTTTATCGGAGCTCAATAGGGCTGATGATGTTTCCTTGACAGTTGTTTGCATAAGTTTTGATAGCGGACTCGCTGGGATATACGCGGGGGGTATACAGGGATCTAGCTAGGGATTGTCAGATGGTTCAGTATAGAGGTTATGGTGGGCATGTACCCTAAACTAGTTTCCATGTTGTTTTCCATTTCCCTGTATAACCCTTATATTCCCCCCATGACCCCTAAACCCTAAATCCTATGTATACGCAGAGCATGCTTTAGGGATGAGAGCTCGTAGGGGGTCGTAGGAAGTTCTGGCGCTTGCTATTAGGTGATTTAGGGTTTTGGTTTCAGGGTTTAGGGTCATGCAAGCGAATGTTCCACTTCATGCTTGAGTAAAGTTGACCTGCCAGGATGTACTTCTAGACGCTTGAACTCCCTAAACCCAAAACCCTAAACCCTAAACCCTGAACCCTAGCAGGTTCCAATAGGCCAGCTACGGGGGGTCATAGGATCTTTAGCTCCTGCTGGTGTCTAGAGCGCTATGAAGATCATGCGAGAGTTTCTTTTTCTTCGGGAACTCGGGGGGGCGTATTAGGCATATTTAAATCCTTGTGAGCCTGAATTTTAGTAACCTTAGCTATCCTCACGATTAACCTGTAGACTTTCGTTCCCCGCTCACAACCAGCATGCATTTGGTGGTTCAACGGACTCAGCACGTACTTACAAGGGACCTATACAGCGTTACTCAGTAATGGGGTAAAAGGAGGCCAGTTCAGGGGATTATTTAGAAGCAGGCTTCCAAGCCTAGTGGTTATTTTTCAGGAACCCTCAACGTAGGCTCCCTCGCCTGGGCCTTACTGCTTTGTGATCCTACCGGCGGTAGCGGGCGCAGCGTTGAACCCAAGGAAGTTGGCAACCCCAAGCCCTAAACCTTAAACCGCTGCGGTTCAGTGCAATAGTCCTGGGGCCTCTAATCTACTTACGGGAGCTTAAGGGAGAGTGGGGAGGTGGATATAGGTATATTCTCAGGGTATGGGGATTAATGAGGGAGCATTAATGAGATCCACGCCCCTACTCCCCCTTAATCACCGGTAGGTTTATAAATCTATGAATCCCTAAAGGTCCAAGTCCCTAATAACTCTTATACTTCCCCAAAACCTGTACTATAATTACTAGTACCCAAACCCCAAGTACCTAAATATTGGGTACTTGGACCCTTAGGGAATAATATCGCCTACATTCAACACAGTGGGTGATTTGGAGCCCTAGGAGATTTAGGGTTTAGGGTTTAGGGTAGGGTTCACAAAGATGTCCGGGTATAGGGTTTAGAGAAATGATTCAAGAAATTACCATACACAGAGGATCCAAGTACCCAATAATTAGGTACTTTTAAAGGGATATATTGGGGTATATAGGGTTTAGGGTTAAGGGTTTAGGGTTGATGTTTCCAATGATAAGGTACCTGGGGGTTGGGGTAGTAGTAATTAGAGAACACGTTTTGGGTAAGTATATGATTATTTGGTACTTGGACCCTCAGGGCTAGATGACCAGATGTCCCAGGAGTCCCTTAAGCCGCTACGACTAGGGTTTGGGGCATAGGTTTGGGAACTCCATGAAGTGGAGAGGTAGCCTAAACCCTAACCCCAAACTCTGAAAGTTCAAAGTCCTGAGAACTGGCTCTGTCAGGTTCTCATTCTTTGGCTGCCGTACTGCCCCACCGAGACTGGGCGGGGGACTTCGGGAATGTTTGGACGCGGTTTGGGTTTAGAGTTTTATTTGAGGTTTTGAGTCTACCCTTCACCCAATGTAGGTAATAGTGCCAGATTGTAGGGCCCAGTGTCTGCACTGCCCTAAACCTTAACTCGTAATATTGATAGACTCAGAGCCCCAAGAAAAGCAAATGCAACCTGCAAGTTGTTGTTGCGCTGTTACGGCGTGGTTTTATCGTATGCTCCTGTTTCTTTCGTGTTTAGGGTTCAGGGTTTAGGGTCCAGATATATGGTAATTTCCCAAAATAAGGGGACCCCAATGTAGACCCCAAAATACTAAAATCCATATTATGGGGACCCCTAAAAAGGTACCCCTAATTTTGGGAAATCCCCATATAGACACAAGACAGGAAGGGTAACCCTAAACCCTAAACCCTAAACAGGAGGCCCAGGGTGATGTCAACTTCTACACCCCAAGCTGCAACCGCATCTACATCGACTTGAGCTGTAGTCTAAAGTCTTTAAGGGGGCTTACAAGAGAATTATATGAGCTATAGTCTAAACTCCTTAAAGGGGGAATATATAGGGGATTATATAGGGGACTTCTACAGGGGTTATTAAGGGGGATACTAGGAGTTTAGACTATAGCTCATATGGGGGATGATTATAGGGGTTATTAAGTGGGATACTACGAGTTTAGACTTTCAGGGCATTGATGAATATCATAGGTTGGGTAACTGCCCCCACTCCCTAACAGTTGGATAGTAAACATAATGTTATTGAAGATTTGGGTACTGGTGGGGGCAGTACCCAAATCTTTTGTCGTTTTTCTCTGTGTGTCTGCATGTGTAACGAGAAGCCTGCTGCTTCGGCAGTGCCGGCCAAAATCGCGTTGCAAACATATTACCTGCCTTTCTATGCGGGTGCAGGGTGCAGAGTTCGAAGCTAAGTGCTTCCCTTGCATTGTTCAAGCATGCAGGTACCATAGCGGCATGAATGACTAAGAATAGCGCCTGAAAGAGTAGGACTTTTTATGGGGATGCGAAAGTGGCAAATACAGAGTAAGATGCTATCCCTCTTGTTGTTCTAGTATTTCACTGGAGCGGTACCAGGTACAGTCCCAAAAAACACGCTATTTATATGAAGCCCTAAAACCTAAACCCCAAAGGCTACTTACCCCTTGGCATGCTTGGGGCTTAGGGCGGTTAGGGTGCACGGCTGACTGTTCAGGCTTTAGGGTTCAGGGTTTAGGGGCAAGGCTTCCCTCGTGTTACGCAAATATTGGGCCGGGGGGGTCCCAAAATTAGGCGTACCCTTTTGGGGGTCCCTACAACTAGTAATTTGGGCTCTATATTGGGGTCCCCCCCATTCCGGGAAACTACACATGGAGAGGATTGAAGAACGGCCACCTAATCATCCCACTTTACACGGCAGATACTTCCCAGAGGGTCCAAGTACCCCATAATTAGGTACGTTGGGTTGTGGGTAATAGTTACTATAGTACAGGTGTTGGGTAAGTATATGCTCATTAGGTACTTGGACCCTTAGAGTTTGTCATCCCAGGAAATGGTGTTCTTCCGCCGAGTGGTGGTTGAGGACAACGACTTCTTGGCAACTGCTGAAGCAACCCTGAACTGCGGCAACACCATCTGCTACCCGCTCAACTGGTTCCTGGGCGTCTGGTGGGCAACTTTTTTGAAAACTTTCTTGGCGCGTTTTCCACCCTAAACCCTAAGCCCTAAACCCTAACCAGGGTCCAAGTACCCAACAATAGGGTACCTTTGGGTTTTGGGTAATTTTAGGCCTCCGCGCCTTTTGCCGCCGTGGAAGGCGCTCCACTTTTGGGATTAGGGTCGGCCACGGGGGTTTGGGGGGGAGGCGGGGGGGGGTAGTTACGTTCGCAAGACGCAACTACCGGGAATTTTCTTCCTGAGATTTTCGCGAATGAGACGCTGTTGCGGCGCCCACTTCGAAATATGCGTGTTGTACAGTGTTTTTTGCGTCAAGAAGGCCGAATGTACGGGTATTCGCGGTATTTTGTGGACGCCGGATGTGCGCATTTGTTTTGACGAGGTTTTAGTCGAGCGAGTTGGTGAGAAAAAGGTTCCCTCATAAACGATTACCTTGCCGAAAGGTTGCGGAGTTCCCCAGTTACCAGCAGAAGAGAGTACGGAAATTATCCCATGAAACCGCAGCTGTCACTTTTTGAGCAAGATGCGCATTTTTCGCTCCGGCTCGGACTTGCAGTATTTTTAGGGTCACCAAGATGAAGGCTTCACGCTTCCACCCTATTATCGAACCTACCATGGAGATAGCTAAACATGTCTATACCCTTAGTGGTAGATGTCTCAAGAAGACCTTTGGGTACGCTATGGCATCTGTTGCGGCTTGTAGCTTGTGCTTACACTGCGTGTGGCTTCCGCTCCGGCAATCTCGGGCCTGGAGTGTTTCTGCCGCGTGGCCTTGACTGAGCTGGATGCTGCGCACGTCGCATGGGCGCTGCCATCCGCAGATCCTGCTGGAGTTGTAACTCGGCATGCCATGCTCCTGCGACTTTGCTTTGCCGGTACTATCGCCTTGGCATGTGCTCCAGGGCCGAATGCTACACAGTTTTTCTGTAGACGAGTTGTCCTTCGCTGTGGGCTACCTGCGCCCGGGGAGCTTCTCGAAGGCATGCGGAGGTGGAGCCTGTGCTGACGGTCCTTCCGGACTGCGCGGCTACGGACATGGTTTCCGCTCCGCTGGATACGGATGCGCTGGCCACGGATGAGGCGGGCGGACGGAAGAAATATTTTTGTTGGACCCTACGCCCGCGAACTCCCTCCATGGCTTGCGCAGGAGCATGGTCTTTATAGTGCAGGTGCTGCGGGGTCCGAAGATGCTGGCTCCGGAAACTTGTCAATGGGCGTGGATGCAGAGCGCATGTCATCCGCGGAGGCCGCGGGCGTCTATGTAATGCTGCTGGCCTTGCGCGTGTAGTCCAAACCCTAAATACTGCAGCATCGAAAGCTTGCAGAACAAGTCTTACATGCAGATTCCGCCATAGGTGGAGGTAGAGCGCTTCTCATCAAACCTGTGTCTCCGGAGGATCCCAAGCTGCGGCGCTCCTCTGTGGGCGAGTCAAAAGCTTCTGTCAAGCAAAAGGCAAATCCCGAGATATGGGATGCTGTCTACTCCTGGGTGTTTCAACGCAACACCCTGTACCTCTAGCGCCCAGAAGAGGTGGCACTGGTGAAGGCTCCCTGGGGTTGACCGGTCTTTAAAAAACAACTTTTCGTTTTGCGCACTTGCACTTGCGCCTGCTGGATGACAAAGCAGCTATTATTGTAGCCTGCCCCATGCCGCCTTCTGCAATAACCCACGCAAGCGATGGAGTTCTAAAGCTTCTTTTATGAACAAGTCATTTTTTTCGTCTATCCTTCTGAAACACGTACCACAACACCAAATGCCTCCTAACCCACTGCTCGTATTGCTTCTCTAAAGCGCGGGACTCTACCTTGCACATCGCAAGTCCTAAATTCGCCACGCTTGACAGATCTTCTGACACTTGATGCCGCATATGCTATGAGCATCTCTACCAGTAAATATACATACCTTTCACGGCAGCGAAAACGCGCGGGTACCTAATTTTAGTACAGGTTTTGGATGGTTTTGGGTAATTATATGATTGTTTTTGACTTGGACCCTTAGGGTAAGCTGCAGCAGCTAAGTCTATTGCTTAGGGGTCTGGGCTCAGGGCGGACCTGTTTGCCATGTTCGCCCTGCCGCCCGAACCCGTCCCTAGACTCTCAAACGTCCAGCTCTAATTTTCAATAGTAAAGCCCGTACGAACCCTAAACCCTAAAGAAGCTGGACAAGCAAGGTTGGGCAATCGACCGAAAGGCTTGGTTGTGAGAGAGAGAGAGAGAGAGAGAGAGGGAGAGGTAGTCGTAGAGTCGCGTTGTCATGAGCACAGGCGGCGTGAGTTCGAAAGAGGCCACCTCTTTGTTACAGGAAATAGTGGGACTAACGGAGTTGATTAATTGCAGTAGGCCGCGCTCGTATGTTCATATCACCATGATCTCCCCTGGGCTGACCGGACTGATGGACAGCGCGCGGTCATGGGGCGCAGCCCGTACGTGTGCCTCCGGGCATTCGTGAGGCCATTTTTGTGTCCAGTAGCTGGGTCCCTGAAAGCGCTAGAACTTGCAATTTAGAAGCTGCAATAGGCCATGCGGAAACTCCTTTGTTGACGCCATGTGTCCTCCGGCCCTCGCAGCCTTCTCAGTCAATGAGAAAATCCTATATCAAAACATGGTTCCTCGCCTTTAAACCCTAAGCCCTACATTGGCATCAACACAGAGCTCTAAGCAGAGTGTCAAGCTTTTCGGAGGGTTTTAGTGCTGACATTGTAGCACCTCAGGTACCAAGAGCAAATTGGAGCATAATATATGTGACCCCAAACCCTTCTATCAAAGCGCTTAGACCTTTATTAGGGCTCCCGAACATGCTATTATGCCGGAAAGCTTCAATCGGGTCATTCCAACATTGGTCATCTTGCTAGTGCCAAAAACTGAATAGTTTCTCTAGCAGCCCAAATATATTCCGGGCATATGTGGTCTTAAAAAGCGTGGCGTGTGTGTTTCATACTTTGGGGTTAACCTATTGAGTTTTAAACCCTTACCCATAAGATTGCACATATTGGGCCCTAAGAGTCCAAGTGCCCAAGTATGGGTAATACACACGTCCCCAAAAACAGGGACCCTGAACCCTAAACCGCGTTATTAATCTTAAAGGAAAAAAGAGGCTCTGGTTGGTTAGCTCCATGAAAGTTGAAGCTGGGAATGAGGGAATGGATGCATATAATATTCCCGACATATCTGGATCAATGTTAGGGATCCTTTATACTTGTTTTGGGGCATTGGGATTCCTTATAGTTATGTAAAAGGATCCTTCCTTTCCTGCTAGCGTAACGTAGGAGAAGATATCCCCTATGGGTTTAGGGTGAGGGTTTAGGTCGAATGACGTAGCGAATGCCATATTCTTTGTCTCAGTTCCCTACTTATTTGCTTGCATTTCATGGTCCATTTAATTCTCCATTCTCAGAATTTCGAATTTCGCCCTCCTCATCCCGTAGCTTCTTCCCAGCCTAATCCCTAAACGTTAAACACCGTGAACTCCCAAACTAAACTTTCACCCTGAGGCTCAAATTTACCTGAAAACCTCATATTATCATGTTGGCTTTTGGCCCGAATTCCTTCAAATAAGCCCTAAACGCTCACCGCCTGGACCCCAAAACCCTGAATATGCCCTAGTCCTTTGAGGCTTAGGGTAAACCAACCCTATACCTGTGTGTCAATGTTACGGATCCTTTTGACTATTTGGCGTCGCATGGACTGGGGACTTTGCTCTTTGCAACGATGCGCTTTATACTTTTTGGGGTATGGGACTCCTTACCCCTACGTAAAGAGGATCCTTTTGTCTTCCTAGGGTAATCCTAGGGTAATGTGGGCCAAGATACCGTGGTGTTTCCTTGAAGGTCTATGCTTGTACGAGGCCCTAGATGGCTCAGAAATTGTGGCCTGGCTGTTTTTTGGCTCCTTAAGGGGGGCTATATAGGGTTTAGGGTTGAGGGTTTTTTTGGAACAAGGATTTTACGGTTACAGGATTTTAGGGTTTGGGGGTTTAGGGTTATAGGGTTTAGGGTTTGGGTTTTTAGGGTCATAATAGGCTTTGGGGTTTAGGCTGGAGGGTTTAGAGTTCAGGGTTTTAGGGCTATAGGGCGTTGCGTATTGGATTTTGGGTTCCTAAACCCTAAACCCTCAACTGTAGTATGGGATGGATCCGGAACTGGGACCTTGCTTCATGTACTGTCGGGGGCTTACGGTCTACTACCACTATGGGCTATTAGACCTTTAAATTCCCCATTACAAGCCTAAAAAGGGTAGATGCAGGACCTTGAAGGTCTAATACCTTTAACCAGCTAAAACGGCTGTATCGTTATCTTCTTGTAAGAGTCTAAGCCACTCTACTAGGTTTAGGGTGTGGGTTGCAGTATTGGGGCGCAGGTTTTTGGTATGGGGTCCAGGGACAAGATTCGCGCACTGGTTTTCGGGATCAGGGTCTATGCTTGAGGTCAGAGTTCATGCTGCTGTTTCCTAGCTTCTGTAAGGGCCACTAATTCGCGTAGCAATGCATGCAAGATCAGAAAGAACTGTAGCCTCCTCGGGACTGGCAAAGCCTTAATGAGAACAGGGCGTCACTAATACTATAGTGTCCCTATTCCTATACAACCCCAATATACTAAAATACATTCCGTTTTTTTCATTATCCCTATATAACCCCAATATGCTAAAGCAAGTTCCATTTTCTTTCCCATCATCCTTATATAACCCCAACATACTAAAGTAATTTTCAATGTCTTTTCCATCATCGTCATATAACCTCAATATACTATAGTCATTTCCATGTTCTTTTCCATTATCCCTATATAACCCCAATATACTAAAGTAGTTTTCCATGTCTTTTCCATTATCGTCATATAACCCCATATACTATAGTAATCTTCATTTTCCATTATCCCTATATAACCCCAATATAGATTTCCCACCCAACCTTAACCCCCCAAAATCGTGGTTAGTAGAGAAATGGTCCAACCTTTGGGTTGATTTCAGGCTGTGGCAACTCTGCGGCAATGGCAGTAACCCAGAGGATCCAAGTACCCAATAATCAGGTACCTTGGGTTTTGGGTAATTGTAATTATAGTAAAGGCTTCGGGTAAGTTTATGATTATTAGGTACTTGGACCCTTAGGATAAACTCAAAAGTTCAGCCTCTCTTGTCTGTTGGAGGTCAAGCGCATTTTCTGTTCGAAGCATAAACGTTCAATTGGGTGCAATTGCTTGCTTTGTTTCAGTATGAACTGTAGTCTTACAAAGTCCTCAAGTGTTCAGTTCGTAGCCTACGACGGCGCCGGACTTCGGTGACGTCGTTGGTGACAGTCCTCCTATTGATAACAGCATTTGCAGCTGGGCCATCGCGCCTGGTGCACCAGCAGCGCAGGAACTGGTATCGGTTTCCTCCATGTTCCGCAAAAGTATACCTACGTAATCTCCGATAAGAACCCTCAAGACCCTCGTATAATCTCTACATATCCTAAGGCCAAGCTCTTCTGGGCAGCCACCTCCCGTAGGGGTTTAGGATTTGGGGTTTAGGATTTCAGGCTTGTACTCCTAGGGTTGTGGCCCTGTCCTGTCAGGAAGCCTATGGGACGACGTGGGCTCATACAAGACAACTTTTAGGGGTGCGACCTTTGGTGTAGAGCCCTGTGACCTTCAGTCCTAGAGACCATGGTACGAGGTGATGTAGGCGCCTAAATGATCCCTAAACCCTAAACCCATCCCTAAACCCTAAACCCTACATGATTTTCAATATTATAGTCTAAGGTTCTTGGTATACGTATGGTATAAGGTACCTCAAGTAGACCTGAAAATGATATTGCCCTAAGGGTTTAAGTACCTAATAATCATGTACTTTCGCAAGACCTTAAACCCGAAACTTGTACTATAATTACTATTCCCCAAAACCCAAGGTACCTAATTATTGGGTACTTGGACCCTCTGTGTTGGGAATTATCACGGCCTCTTTATGACCCTGCGCCTGCAGTAGTACACTCTCCTTTCTTGCCCGGCCTGGATTGTGGAAAGCCCAGGTTAATGAACGCGCTAGCGCGATAGCCGGCACGGAGGCCTTGCTTAGGGATTAGTGTTTAGGGTTCAGGGTTTAGGGATTAATTAGGGTTTAGGTTTAGGGTTTGGATAGGCCAATGTTTAGATGTGCAGGTTTTTTCGAGTAGACCTTTCCAGTTCCTGTATTGAAGGTTGCGCTACTGTGAGGCTCAGGATAGTTATGACGAATAAGTATGATGCCTTAAAACTGCAACTCGATTGCAACCATGTTAGGGCAG